GCTTCGCTCGCAGGTCATCTGGCGTGTCAGTGGATCCGGAAGCCACGGCGGTTTTCGCTAGCATGCGGGGTCTCCACACGCCAAGCCTCTCCCCAGCTTTCATCGCCTTCGCGTTTTCGCTCCTTCCCGCGGGTGGACTGCTTTGCTGCTGATGGCGTCGTATCGTCCTCGATGAGTATCCACACGCTGGATGAATGAGTGGTGAATCCCCGAGCCTCGGTACTTTGCCTGCGGGATGCCTTCCCAACACGCCCACTTCACTTGGCAGCGTCCAGGCGGGGAGGCAAACGGCAGGTGCTTTTTGACATATAACGCGTCTATCGTGTGCGACTTCCGTGCTCCTACCCGGACAACCCACCTTCACCACCTACTGCCCTAGAGGTCAACACCTACACTACGCGCCCCAACAATGGCCAACCAAGTGGCTGTTATGCGTGACGACGACGCGTTCGAGAAGAGGCCCGTCTCTCTTAGGGAGAATGTCGACGGCTCCCAGGACGGCTCCGGCTACGAGTGCGAGTTCAGCGACCGCGAGCAGAAGAAAATCATTCATCGCATCGACCGACGCCTCGTCGTAACCGTGGGAGTGCTCTACTGCATCAGTCTGATGGACCGTACCAACCTTAGTGCCGCTGCCATAGCTGGGTTCGTGAACGACACGTGAATTCGCGCGTCCTCAAGACTAACGGCAAGTAGCATGACCGTTGACCTCAAACTCGGTCTCCTAGAGGGCTCAATTTCACGCTACTCCATCGTCACCATCGTATTCTTCGCGTCCTACATCGTCTTCCAACCCCCGGCAACCGTCATCTGTCGTTATCTCGGACCTCGCAATTTCCTATCGGCTATCGTTGTGCTGTGGGGCGGTGTCATGATTGGCATGGGCTTTGCCGATACTTACGGTACCATGTCCGCGCTACGAGTCATCCTGGGAGTCCTAGAAGCTGGCTTTTTCCCGAGCTGTGTCTACTTGCTGTCCACCTGGTGTAAGCGCATGCCGATCCTTGGATCGCCGCAATTTGCTAAGACCCCTCTCAGATACCCGATTTGATATTGGAAAGCGATACTCATGCTTCTACATCCTTGGAAGTTTGGCATCTGCCTGCGCCGGTATCCTCGCTTACGGCTTGATGCAACTGAAGGGACAGCAGGGCCTGAACGGTTGGCGCTGTAAGTCATCGCCCGGTTACGCCTTGATGCGACTCTGCTGACGTTGCATCTTCCAATTAGGGATCTTCATCATCGAAGGCGCGCTCACATGCTTCCTTGGTATCGTCGGTTACTGGGCTCTGGTTGATTTCCCGGACAAGGCGCATAAGTCGTGGAACTTCCTGACTGAGCGTGAAGCCATGTTCATCATCGACCGCGTCAACAGGGATCGTGGTGATGCTAGGCCAGAGCCATGGTCCATGGCCAAGTTCTTCAAGGGTGGTGCTGACATCAAAATCTGGGGTTTCGCTCTGGTACGCCCCAAGATTTCCAATGATCCCCCATTCGCTGACGGGTATAGATATTCTTCAACACCACCACAGTCACATACGCACTGGCATACTTCCTGCCCATCATCCTAACATTGAACATGGGTTTCAGCACCGGCGCTGCCCAGTGCCTCGTTGCTCCTCCTTACGCTTTTGCTGCCATCGTCATGTACACCACCGGCTGGCTTGGAGACAAATACCACCTTCGCGGACCCATCATTCTGTTCAATATGGTTCTCTGCCTTGTCGGTCTGCCCATCATGGGTTTCCATTCCAATCCGAACGTCAGGTACTTCGGCGTCTTCTTGACCACCGCTGGCGCAAATAGCAACATCCCCGCGACGATGTCATACCAGGCGAACAACATCAGAGGCCAGTGGAAGCGCGCGTTCTGTTCTGCCATCTTGGTCGGCATGGGTGGTGTTGGTGGTATCGCTGGAGGTCTCGTTTTCAGGTATGTATCTGCAAACTGCATTCCATCGACCGTGCCATTCTAATGCCGAGTAGGGAACAAGACAAGCCCGGATACGAGCCAGGACTGTACGCCTGCATTGCGTGCTGCCTGCTCACAATCGTCATTGTCATCCTCATAACACTGAGATCCTGGAGCTTGAACAAGCGTGCGGATCGTGGTGAGCTCGAACTGGAGTACAATGATGTATGTCTTCTCAACCTTGTACTCAAGTGGCAACATATTAACGTACGCACAGGATGGCGACCAGAAGGGCTTCAGGTATACTTACTAGAGCTGCATCAACCGGATCATCAAAGCATTGATGGTTCTGTACGAATTCGAGATGCCACACCCGACGATCGTCTTCTTCTCACGGATTCTTCTCCGGCTTTAGAAAGCATCTCGATATTAATGAACTCATGCCCCATTGTTCACTACCTTGGATAATTTTTCTCGAGGATAGATATGTGCAACGTGAATGTGAAAAGATCTTGGACCGGGTAGCTGTACACGTCGTGCGTGCATAACCAGGCTGCTGTTATATGGTGTTTGGACAGCCTCGGGATCAGTAATCATGTTCTTCTAAGTATTCAAGTACGCGTCACTCGCTCTTCTTGACGCGACTTTATGCGCTGCCGAAACAATCGTCATGAAGGCGTTAGATGGCGAAATGTGCGAACGCGCTTCTTATCTGGCACGTCTGGGTATGTTGGTGGCACAATTTTTGCGTCTTGGCACGTGCACGCCTGTCAGATTTCAATTTGAAATCCAGGGTCTTACTGGACGCTGAACACGTCAAAGCACACAGCTCGCATTTCAATAGAGCATATAGGCTAAGTGGTGTTCAGCTCGCTCCCTATAGCCGGCTTCACCTCCTAGGGACAGCTCACAGTCTTCCAGAGTCCTCCTTCGAGCTGTATGAAACATTCACTATTGCTGCCACCGAAATCACCGCTCACAAACACTTTGCGCAAATTTAGCAGAGGCCACAAGATCTCGTAGAGGGCGAAACGAACCTACTAATACAGCAGCATACGCAGCAGTGGCAGCGAAAACTTCTGCTCGTCCTGCGTTCGTGCAAAGCCTCACACTCAGTGCAAATAGCAATGTGTATACGGCTATGAGCCCCAGCTTTGCGTTTGGGTTGCTAAGAAAGTAGAGACTAACAATCGCGCCGACTAGCAAAACTGCAGCGAGCACCATGCTTATCGCAGCCACAACCTGTGCGACGAGTGTGTCATTATATCTGATTGATCTGTCGAGTTCCTCGCGTGGTGAATGTTTGGTGAAGAGCCAGTGGTTCCTCAGCGAACGAGACAGGTAATCTTGGTTGGAGGGCTTCTGGAGAGCCACCAGGTCTTGTGTATCTTCCAAAAACTTGCTCGCGCGACCAAATATCAGCTTCTTCGAGGACACCGGCATGTTTCGAATCGCAGTTCCGTTAAGATAGTCCGTATAGGTGGTCAAGATTCGTTGACTGGGTTTACCGAGTTGGGCGACTTGAGCGCGCAAGGTCAGCGCTTCGTCTGGCCAATGAATCAGCATGAAGCCTAAGATGTCACGAAGCGACCAACAGTATTCTTTCAATAACACCTGCAATTCTTTGAGCTTTAATTGAAGCTGCAATGCGAGGCTGTTGGAACCGGGTATCGCCCTTTCGCACAAAACTTCCCACCGCTGAAGCGACCGGCGGGTGTCCAGATCGGCTGACTGCCTGATCTCAGATTCTAGACCTTCGATCTCATCTTCGAGTGTCACCATCTGACATTGCAGCGACAATATGTTGCGCGCTGCAAGTACCCCGAATTTGCGAAACACAAGCGGCTCATCGTCAGGATCTCGAGCGATCCATTTGGCTAGCGATGGATAGCCATTTCTGACGTCTGCGAGATCGATACCAAGAGGCGAGGTAGACGGGGCCATGATATTGTGGCTATGCTTGAGCCTTGACCGGTTCGACAGATGTGTCGGGGAGCAAGTTGAAGCTCGCATGAGCTCAGCCCATGCATTTATGGTGCCGGTCACACAAACGTGGCCCAGTTCATGCACCTTGACTGCGGTCAAGTTTGAGGGGCGGCCTCAGCCGCCCCTCCACATAAATCCTGTGTGTCCTTATCTCTTCACGTCAAACGGCACACGAATCTTCCCACGACCAGATTTGCAATAGAACTACCTGAGTGGAGTTTCTTCACCCACTGAAACATCTAGAGGCTTTCACCATCATCCCAATAAACCACAATATCAAACCGGGGTAACACAAGACCAAACATTACTTTGAGCTAAATCACCCACGTTTCACTGTAACTTCTCACGTATGTGAGGCGTCTCCGCGCTCGGGAGCTTCGACAGCAGCTGACCAGGTTCAGATCAAGTACCAGAAACGTCACCATGAGCCTCAACATCTCCCGTCGCAAGGTCGACTTTTTGATCAATATGGATTCACCCGAAAACGAAAAGTTCTGCGAGATGACACGTCGTAGCTGCGAAGACGACCGAATCGATACCCTGCCTCTTCGAGACCGACGTGCCGCCCGTGAGGTAGAGACGAGGCGGCGTGCGCAATGGGACGGGGAACAGGCTTTGGGACAGGCTAGTCCGGGGATGGCGCTGTTAGTTCGGTAGCAGAGGTGCATCGTTAGGTACTCACCTACCAAGGGTATAATCACGCCCTTGATACCAGAAGGACGGAGTTATGGGTCCGGAAGGCTCATGATTAACGGGAAAGACAAAATCAGAATGGGAGCCTTGGAAAGCATGTACAGGAGCGGGCGACAGTGTTGTACACAAAGCACGTTCTGCGGCTTGTAATCTAGTATTATATACACTTTAAAGGAAATGAAGTGGTATTCAGCGAAAGATCAAAATGTCAAAATGTGTGACAACGCCTGCCCAATGCCGACGGCATAGCAAAAGGCTGGAAATGCGACGCCTTCACCACCCAAACTCCGTCCGTCGCTATGCAAACGCTCTGAAGAAAAGTGAAGAGAAACACTAGATCGAGAACAAACAGCCTACAGCAGAGATGGCCTGCTACTTGGCTTCATACTCGTGTTAACGAAGACTGGTCGCTAGTAAGATTTGTATTTCTGCACAAATGTTAGTTCTGATCACATCACTAGTATAGTAGCATCACTTACGTCTTCAATCTTACGCCTCGATTCGGGATCAAGCGCGTTGCCTACGCCTAGTAACGTATTGCTCACCAGTTTCGTGGTACCGAGCGCAGGTCGCAAGATTACAGTCGGTCCATATCGACGCAAGGCCCTTGCGACACCCGTACCGCTACCCTCTTCCATGACGTTTGCAGGAATCGCGATCACCGCGTCACGAGCAGTGTTCCAGTCGCGTTCGAAGTGTCTGACCGCGCTGCGAAGACCAGCGCCCACACCGATCGGCTGGTTGGCGTAGTTCGATACGGCGCGTGGCTCTTCTGTATCGGAACTAGGATCTTCTCCATCCCAGTCGAGAGATTGATGGCGGCTCGACGAGTCAGTCTGTGGGTTAAGAAACTCCTCAGTGCCTTCCAGCACAGTTTGCGCGCCGATCGCCATCTTCGCACCCAAACGTGCTGCCCCTGACGTTGTGTTCATAGCGAATGCTTGTACACCCTTCCCCAGACTGCGTACGATTCGACCGTCTTTCTTGTACTCGCGCATTGGAACGTAGACGAGGTCTTTGAGGCCGGAACCGACATTCACAATAGGTCGCAGGCCTGCGAGCCCCGATAGTACGCCTGGTAACTGATTGTTCTTGACATCCGGTGACCACACGTCATTGAGAGTCTTGTGAAGTTTGTCGAACGATGTAATTCCGTATAGAATTGCGTGGCGTAAGGTGATGTCTGAGCCGTCGAGGACGAGAAAATTCATGAACTCCGTTGTGTGGCCGGACCGGAGGCCGCGATAGTCCACGCGCTTTGGCTTGTAGTCCAACTTCAGCTTGACTGCCATCACTTCCAACCGCTGAATGAAAGGCTGGTCACCAGCCGGGCTGCTAGCGGGTGCGGAGTCATCTTTGAACTCAAAGAAACGCGTGATGAAGTCCAAAGCATCCTGATCGATATGCAAGCGGAGTGGAAGGATAGACACCTGATGATCAAATTAGCAAGAACTGGGATGTTCAACATGCATCAAGACTTACTTTAATGACGAGCTCCGAAGCCGCTAGATCAGTGATCGGCTTGACCGTGTTGAGTTCAAGATTTATCATCGGACGAATGAGCTCTCTCTTCGCTGGATCGATTGCGCACGTGACAAATTTCCTCCAGGTAGAGCTAGGCATGTGATCGAAAACCTCTAGATCTCGTACGCGGACATTAACGGAATTGACCGTCTCGCCTGTATCCGGCGGAAAGACGACAAGATCAACCGCGACCCCGCTGAGGGAGAATGCAATCTTTTTGTGTTTACTACGCTCGAGCTTGAGACGACGCCTGTATTTGGTAGTACTTCGAGGCCGTAGAGTAGCCCCAGTCGAGCGTGTCGCTGTCGACGTCGCGTAACTGCCCGTCTCGCTGGCAAGATCGTCAATATCATGGTTGATACGTCGGGCTAGAGCTCCTTTCTCGTCCTTCACAGGAACACCAATCCAAACCGAATTGAAGAGGAAGTCTTGCTCAACGAAGTCATCGTCGTCATCTTCTTCTCGTCCCTTATGCCTTCGCTCCTCGGCGCGAGCCTCAACGTCATCCACAGCTTTGCTGATAACGCTCCGTGTTTGAGGCCAGTCATAGCCGTCGTATAAGTTCCAGATGACGTTGACGTCGCGGACGCGTACCTTTAGTGGAGCGCCTATAACCTTGAACTCATTGGATGGATGATATTGGTTCTTTGTCGAATCCCATTTACGGGCTTTACCCTTTGGTTCGATATTTGACTCTCCGAAGTAGTCGTCGTCAAAATCAAACGCTTCTTCTCCTTGAGTGACTTCGTGCTTCTCCTGGAAGCTCTCAAGGAGAGCTCGATCGCCACGTTGGCGAGTTATAGGCGGTGTGGGCAAAGCGCCGAGATCTTCTTCAGCCAAAAGGCTGTCACCCATTTCCTCATCAGTCGGTAAGGGTTGTGAATTGTAGAGTCCCCCAACGAAAGTAGGACTCTTTGACAGATCATCCTCCGTCAAGTCAGCATTGCTCATGAAGTCATCGGCATCGGCTTCTTCATCTTGCAACAGTTCATCGCCAGTGAATGACTCGATCATTTGCTGTAGCGGTACCGTCGTACGATATCGCTCTGCGGTTGATGGTGGCGTTGGGGGCTGTAGACCGCTCAGAATTGTCATAAGCGTCTGTGTAGAATCTGCGCATGACTCAATAACAAACAGCTCATTTTTGAACTCCACGTCCACTAGCTGTGGGTGTTCCTGTCCATCACCTCCAATATTGACTAATATCTTTGCGGCCGAAATCGAACTCAAAGACACATAGCCCAAGTTTTTCAGCCCATTTAATTGGCCGTTGGCAGTGGGTATGGTCGAGACAGGTCCGTGGTCTTCTTCTAGGCGCGCTATGTCATCTATAGCATGCATCGAAGCCTTGCGGAGGTCGACCGTGACAGAGTAGTCGTTTCTTGCTTGCTTACCCGTGACATGCGCTTCCGTGAGGACGAAGAGACCCTTCGAGAGTGATTTCCGGGGATTGAGACCAATTGCGCAATCCCTCAGTAAAAGATCGACCTGAAGCGGCTGAGAGACTGCTGTGACTGGCGAACTCGCCTGGGAAGATTGTCGGCTGATGGTCTTAGGAGAGGATGCGCCTGTGACGGTTGCGACACTCGAGGCCAGACCTATAGCCAGATCGTCTACCGTGCCATCCTCAGCAATCCCCAGCGCTGCCATAATCGTGCTGACTCGGTATTCAACGCATAGGTTGAACAGCTTGACTTTCACCATGGGTTCCATCTCATCGCCCACCATCCTCAGCATGATGACGGGTAGTTCTTCCGATGGGTCTAGCTCCACAACTTCATGGACCAATACTTCTTCGTTGCGCCGAACAGTCGCTTTGCTTACTTCGACAGCAAGCAAAGCAGGAACTCCGACGTGTGCTAATGCGGATTCCTGCAAGATGACTGAGACATCTCCAAGTTTCTCATTCACAGTAACGCGAGCATCCAGCCGTTTCACAGATGCGAGGCTTAGAAGGCCAGGTCGATCATCATCTGGCAAGTATTTGGTGACCTTGGATAATCGAGCCAGCTCTATCCCCAGAGCCTCAAAGGCTTTCATGTGTTCAAGATCTGAAATATGAACACCGATTTCAGCGATTTCAACTCGGAGTACGGAACCTTTCTTTCGCTGACGCAGCAGGGTTTCGATGAGAATGTCGTCGTTGTTTTCGTACGGGTTCTTTGATGGCGTGATTAAGGATATTAGCCTAGTGAGATCCTGCTCGCCAGGAGCGAAGAGAAAGTTGATTTCAGTGCCTTTCAATTCTCCAAAAAAAGGTGCAGTCTTCGGGGCGATCTCCGTGTAAGGACCAGTCAGCTGTGTCTCAGAAACTTTGAGGCGCACATTGCTTTGCCGTACAGCAATGCGCACCGTTGTCGTGTGAAGTTGCATGGAACATGACTTCCCCCTGAGGCCCAAAGATACCTCACCGAGTTTTACGTCGATCTTCGGAGACTTCGTGGGTGGTGATTCTTTGACAGGGGGAGGTAGACCATCACCAAAATGTACACCGCGAGGCCGAGAGCGGGCTGGCGATATGACAGGACTTGCGACTGCGCTACTAGAGTTGATGGAGTTGCTCAACTCTAATATGCCGCTGAACCCACCAAAGGAGCCCAACGCGTCGTCCAGTTTCTGGATGTCAAACAAGATGTTGAGGGGACGGGTGACGATGGTGATACGATCGTCTTGCCCCTGCTCGTACTTCAGTTCTATATCGTGATTGGGTTGTTCTAGCGGGACATTGGCCGACCGTCTGGATTTCGGCCGTGAGCTGTGGAAGGAAATGATGTCTTGATCCAAAGATGCTAATTTGAACTTGCCAATATGAAGTTGAGTTCGCAAAATACCGGAAGACTTGCCACTGGTGAGGTGTATAGCCGAGAAATTGGCTCTCAATATTGCGTCCGAAGGTTGAAGTTCCAGTTGGTGCTCTGAAAGCGGCCCTTCCTGCGTAGATTCCGCCAACACGTGCTCCAGCCACGATAGAGCAATGCTCTGCACGGAAACTTCAAGACTCATGGGAGATGATTCCAAAGTTTCCGTGGGCTTCGATTTCACAGTTCCTTCGCTTGAGGACTGTTCCCCCGTCAGAGCCTGTGTTGCCCGAGCAAACATAGCGGCCATGATGCGGCCAGTGGATATGTCCATATGACCGACTACGGAGCCGACATCGACAATGATCGAAGCCACGCCTGTTGTCGTGGGCTGCGCTGGTGGCCGAGATGTTTGTAGGGATGCGGGAGTAGGTCGTCCGCGAGACGATGCTTCCAGGGAGGGCTTTCGACGGTGTGAAGAAGAATGTGCATAATTGGAGAACGATCCTGGCATCTCCGTGAAAATAGAATCTTCACCCAAATTGGAAGGACTAAACTCCATGCCTGCCGCATCATCGACTTGCTCGCTTGTTGCATCATTACGCTCTTTATCACCGAGGGCCATGGGGAACCACACAGTAATCTCATCTATAGTGAGAAACCGTTTGGCATGTTTTCGCGGACCGGGCGCGTCAGGCGTGGGGGTTTGTGTAAGTTCGGGTCTTGGCGGCAAGACCGAGCTCTGGCGGCTCCCCGGACGTGGAGTCTCGCATCCATCGTCTGCTTCTGGCAATGGCGCTAAAATGCTACCGGAGATCATATCCTCTGGTATCGGTTCCGACCTATCGGAACTAGATTCTTTACTTGAGTCTGACGAAGAGTCCCAGCCTCCGGGAACGTGCCCAGCATGAGCGGAACTAGCCTGCGTCGCACTCACTGCACTCATGTACATACTTTCAGCCTCATCGTGCGTGAAAAACCGTGACTGGGCCATGTCTTCATCTGGTGAAGGCGATGGATCAAGATGCTGGTGCACGTCGTCGGAAAGCTCCTGAGTATCATCCGTTGTTCGCTCATGTGCTGCAGCTAAATTGTCAGTACTGATGTGGGGTGCCTGGATATGGCCCGATTGAGACGGTGAGTCGATCACATTCGGGACTGGAAAGGAGCGACCCAGAGCAGACACAGTAGGCAAGTCTGACACGGATGCATCGTTAGCGGTTTCGGAGATGTGAGTATGTCGGCTTGAAGTTGCACCGTCTAGCCCCCACGTCGCCGCGTCTGATGACTGTTCCATCGCTGATATATTCTCAAGTTGTGAATTGAGCATGTCATTCTGCATCGCGAAGTTGAGCAAGCCCTCGTCGTCATACGATGAACTACCCTCGCCAAGATCAGGCAATGCATAATGTTGCTGAGACTGGCCGAGTGAAGGCTGCAGTTGTTCATCATACACACCGTCATCGGAAGTAGCGTCTGCAAAACGATCATCGTCTGTTGTTTGTGGCGACGGCGCTAGCTGTGCTTGGTCTTGGGATAAAGAACGCTTGGGGGAGGTAGCTTCTCCGTGAGAGACGGCACTTTGGGCTTCTGTTGGCGAAACGATCTGACTGGATGACGCCTCTTCATCGCCCCGGAATGTTGTCGAGCTTCTCACTTCCTCTTGGAAAAATTGCCTGGACTCAACAGGCTGGTCTTGAACTTGACTCGTCGCAGATTCGCTGCTGGTTTCATGGCTGCTTGACGCCTGAGATCGCGAAGTAGGCGGAGATGACGGCTGCGAGAACTGCGAATGAGATACGAAATTTTTGACATCGGACACAAGGCGCCCGCAAATGTTTTCCACCCGCATCCTCCGCTTACCTAGCTTCGAGGTGGCGGGAGGCAACGTTGTGGACTCAGCCTCAATGCGAACATCTTTGGCAGTGGTCGAGTCAATCGCTATACTCTCGATGTGAAAGCTCAGAGAAGAAGGTGAGGTCTCGCTTGACTTTGACGAGTCCATGGCATCGTTAGGGAAGTGATCCTCCACATCTATATCGATGTTGTTGACAACTATGCTTAGACGATCTAAAGCGGTGTTCAACATATTGCGAAGATATGTTGGGATCGTCAGAGGCGCTCCAATACCAGCAGAAGCCTCTTCGCCATCGTCGCTCGATGCGACCGACTCGTGCATATACGTAGGTTGAGACTCGAGCTCATGCTGCAGCTCGCGAATTTCTTCCAGAGGCTCCGTCTTTATGAATGACTTGGCCAGCTCGTCTACGGTGGGCACGTAGTCGTCATCATCATCGTCATTGTCTGAACCATCGTTGTACTGGTTGTTGGGTGGAGCGGAAGGCGAAGCGGCCGTTGGAGGTGGCGAGGATCGTTTCTGGGTGTGCTGTCGGCAAGTATTTGAAGAGGGAGCACCTTCGACATGCTCGGTCAACCGAGCTTCTACCCGTATGCCATGTACCTCTATCAATATCTGGGGGACGCCGAATTCGAGGACGAAGGTAACCCGGAGGAGCGAGGCTTGCGCTTTCAACAGCTGGATCTCGGGAGGGAGCGTGAGGTGTAGTAGTGCTAGGAGTTTCTAGAACATGGTGTCAGTGCTAGGCGCACAGTGATGGACATCTCCGGGACGTACCTTGACGTGCAACCCAACGTCCCGAACCTCGAGTGTAGTGCGCCTCCCGACATCGACGCTCACGAAGTCGGCAGGGTCTTTGTCCAGTATGTCGATGTGGCGCAACCCGTAGAGGAGCAGCTTCCGGCCGATGGAGCTCGAGAGCGTAGAGAAGAAAGCCATGGCGGTGGAGAGGCTGGCGACCGGGTTGGGGGACGCGCTGGTGGCAGGCTGGTCGAACGCCTATCGACGGGAGAGAAGAGGCTCCATGGATAGCGGAGCGTGCGGGTTAGTGGCGCGTATCACAACTGCGAAGTGTGAAAGTCGTCCTATCGGTATGGCGATGCACAGTGGTGCCTGCCAAGTCTTGTTGCTTCACCAGCCGCGGATGTGAAGTATGGACGGTCCCGGATCTAGAAAAAGCAGAACTGTAGGGGCATCAGCAACGGGATTAGTGAGGGTGCCGGTCCGCGTGGCAATAAAAGACGTGGGTGATCACAGGGCGAGGTTCCGCCGTCTAGCGTCGAGGTTGCGGTGCTATGGAGCGCAGATGATGTGTTATGCCATCGCAGGCGACCGTGCAGCTGCCATCACCCGCTACCGCCCCGCGCATGCACCAACGCGCGCTAGGCAATCGATAAGCAAAGCCCCAACGCGTCAAGAGCGCGTGCTGTGAATGGGACAATAGTGGCGATTGCGGTGCGGCTTAGACTTCACATTCGAAGAGTGAAACACACCATTCCCTGTGTTCCCGCGTGCCCTGCTGGTACATGTAATCTGTGCAGGCTTCCGTATCTCGCCGCTCTTGGCACGAGTTAGACCCTGTTACGTCAGCAGTCACTAGCTCCATTCAGGAAGGAACTCGCGGAAGTCACCGAGAGGGCGGCGTCTGACACTCTTACAACAAATTGTGAACAACATTTCCTTCACCAAACATTCCTTATTCTGAGCCGCAGACACAGTCGCTATCATGACTACGAACGATGCTGCGAACGACGAAGAGTGGGCGCAGGCCGAAGGTGTCCCGAACCTAAGTGACCCATTCATCCAACAGTACCTACAGGGCCGAGACGCTTTGGTACAGCAAGAGAAGAGACAACGAAGCGGTTCGTGAACCAAAGTTGTTCGTTACTCTACAGCTTGTGCAGTGGCCTAACAGCCTGCAGACTATCTTTTCCGCCAGAATCTCTCGCCCATGGCGCAAGAAGCATGCGCCATCGTCTCCCAGATTCGATTTGAGGAGCAACAGACCCTCTGGACAAAGGAATACGAAGACAGCTTACTAACCGAACATGTCGATGTCTTTCCAGGCATGATGTTCTCACTTGCCAAGGAGCGCATGGAGAAGAGCAAGCTGTGGCAGATAGTCAAGCGAATGCCGAAAGGCGCACTCTTGCACTGTCACTTGGAAGCCATGGTGGACCTTGACTGGGCGCTTGAAGAAGCTTTCAACACTGAGGGTGTCTGCGTTATTGCTGATAGTCCCATCACCGACGACAAGACCAGGCGCAAAACCGGCTTCTCCTTCACCTACTCCAAGGACGCGAACGGTGACGCTTCAATATGGAGCGACGGCTACACTGCGAACACCCCGGTGCCTGTAAATCAAGCCGCGGATACCTTTCCGAATGGTGGCAAGAAGGCCTTCGTTGAATGGATTCGCTCCCGCGTCACTATTACCCATTCAGAGCACCTCTCTCATCACGAAGGTCCCAACGAAGTATGGCGCAAGTTCATATCATGCTTTCCTATTCTCGGCTCTCTCATCTACTACGAGCCTATCTTCCGCAAGTTCGTACGCAGGATGTGCAAGGCTCTGGTCGACGATGGCGTATACTACGTTGACTTGCGTGCAGCGTTCTATACGCCCTACCGCAGCAGCAAGAAGGAGATCTGGGACTCGGACCACTTCAATTTGCTTGAACATCTGGCGGACGAGATTGAGAAGTTTAAGGCGAGTGAGGAAGGGAAAGACTTCTGGGGCGCAAGAATGATCTGGACGACCATTAGACAGTTCGGAAAGAAGCAGGTGATCGAGAGTAAGTTGCTTACCGCTCGCACACATCTCATTCAATATCAACGCGTCTGAGAGCTTTTGTATTGCCGTGCTAACAATCAGCCAGGCATGAAGCAATGCATCGAGATGAAGATCGAATTCCCCGAGATTATCGCAGGTTACGACCTCGTAGGCCAGGAAGACCTCGGCCGCCCGCTTTCAGACCTTGCGCCCGAGCTCTTCTGGTTTCGCAAGGCCTGCGCTCAAGAGGGAGTCGACATACCTTTCTTCTTCCATGCCGGGGAAACGCTTGGCGACGGCGACTCAACTGACGAGAATCTCTTTGACTCTATTATCTTGGGTACGAGGCGCATAGGACACGGGTTCAGCCTTTACAAGCATCCACTCCTTATCGACATGGTCAAGGAGAAGAGAATCCTAGTGGAGAGCTGCCCAGTATCCAATGAAGTGCTACGACTTTGCTCGAGCATCATGTCGCATCCTCTGCCAGCGCTGCTTGCCCGTGGAGTTCCTTGCTCGCTTTGCAACGATGATCCCACCATCCTTGGTCAAGGTGTATCCGGCATGTCGCACGACTTTTGGCAAGCGCTTCAAGGATGGGAAAATCTTGGTCTTGAAGGCCTGGGCTCATTGGCGGAGAACAGTGTGCGTTGGGCTAGTCTGGATGATTATAGTGCGAAAGAGTGGACACAGGATGTCAAGGATGGAATGTTTGGGAAAGGAGTACGGGCACAAAGATTGAAGGAGTGGGTGAGCAAGTGGGAGAAGTACTGTGCTTGGATCGTCGAGGAGTACGGTGTGGATGAGAACGTAGAGCCGGAAGAGTGAATCTCTACAAGGCATAAGAAGTGCTTCGGCACGGCACATACAGGGTGGAACGAGATTCAACATCGTGTTTGGTAAGATACATCACTCGAAAGGCATGACCATCTCTATTTTGAAAATCATAAGTACAATAAGGTAGCGAAATAAGCTGCCGATAGAACACGTTTAACATAAACTTAATAAGTATTAGAACTCTCTTATATTAGTTAAACAAACACCTAACTAGCTATATACAGAATTGTTATACGCTCTCTTTACTACTATAAGCATTTTTATTCTTCTCTAATTTCTTATTTAGAAATAAAAGTTAGTAAGATTATTAACAAAGCAATTAATTTATAGCTCTTTAATCTTTATCTAATACTATAGACTTAGTGCCTTAAGCCTACTTTAGAGTTATCTTTATAGTAAAAAGACGTTAAAAGATATTAAAAGGTATTAAAAGACTCTAAGCTAGCTCTTTTAGAGCTACTAGATAATTTTAATATTAATTAAGATATTACTATAGTAATAAAGTTATTACTAGCTTATAGACTAACTCTACACTTATCTATATAAATTTCTAGTTTAGACTATAGCTAGAAATAACTAAGAATAATAAGATATATAGTAATAAGAATACTACTAATAGAACTTACTATATTTATTCTCTATTAACTATAACTATAATATTATCTCTATCTACTAATAACTATAATATAATAACTATTCTATAGTTATACTCTTACTAGCTTTAGTAGAACTCTAATACTACTACTATCTACGTAATAGTATCTACTTACTAGAGATAACTTATAAATACTTTTTTATCTTTATTTTATTTTTTATTACTCTTTTTAAAAATCTTTTCTAATATAGTCTACTACTAGTAAATATAACTCTCTATTATTTTACTTAAACATAGCTTTACTTCTATCTTAATTATATATATAGTAAAGTAGATATAGATAGTATCTCTACTCTAAAAAGAGTACTTAATTATTAGAGTACCTAGAATAAGCTTCTCTAGAATTCTAGTAATATATAGATCTCTAGCTACTAAGTAATTTATAATATTAAGATCTAGCTTATAAAAGAACTATCTTATTTTATTAATAAGATTCTTAAATATAAAGTTCTAGTAAAGAATAATAGTAGAACTTACTTACTTTAGGTATTTATAAAAGATATATATAAAATAATAACTATTAATAGTTCTAGTAGATACTATATTATTAGTAAAGTAGGCTTTAAAAGTATATATAATAGTAGTAGTTATAAAAATAATAAAGAAGGTTATAAGATTTAATAAAATACTATCTTTTATAATAATCTTAAGAAAACTTATAGAGGTAGTAATAATAAAATAACTTAGTAGAGCTTTAGTAAGTAAAATAACGTAACTAGTTAAAGATTAGTTTTATTCTTATAATTACTAAGAAGACTTATAAATTATTTAACGTGCGTATTAGCGTAATATTTAGTATTAGATTTAAGCTACTTATATCTTTAATATATCTTTAGATTTCTAAGAGTAACTTATAGAATAGAAGAAACGCGCTTTTACTAAGATCTTAGTATATATATTCTAACTATAAACTTTTAAAATATATTACTTTATTAGTTATAAGCTAATAAGCGTATATAATTATATTATAATTCTCTTATAGAGTATTTAGAGTTAAAATAGCTAGCTTAAATTTAAAAACTTTAACTATCTTAAAAGTAGTAGCGCTAAGACTCTAAGCCTTAGTCTATCTATCTTTAGAATACTAAAATCTTTAGTTATATATTCTTTAGTGTACTAGTAATAAACTTTACTTTTTAAGAACTAGTTTATAGACTATAGAATTATTAGTTTACTAATAAAAATTCTATATATTAAAATCTATAGTAAATCTAAACAGATTTAGTTACTCTACTTTCTAGCCTACTAGAAAGTAATAATTAGATATTTTTAAGGTGTAAGGCAGCGCAGGCCTTAGAGCCTGCGCTAGCCTACACTTTTAGCTTACTTACGCTTATACCTTACGCTACGCGTAATTATTTTACTTCTATCTAAAGTTTTTAACTTCTATTTAGAGTTATATTACGTAATACCTTACGCTACGCGCGCGTTATATTATAATTATCTAATGTTTTAATATTTCTTGCTAAGGCTTAGCTCTTAGCTACGTAGTAGCTTAACGCAACGCGTTACGTTAGCTTACCTCTACAGCTCTAAAACGCTAACCTCTATACTTAGTATAATTATCTTATAGCTAATAGAATAGAAGCTTTAATTAGCTAATTAGGTATTCTACTCTTTAGGTTATATTCGATCTCTAAGGCTCTATAAGTAGAGTAATTATATTATAAAATA